TGCCACTGCCAGGGGAAGAAGCAGTACAAGTGAATACATAAGGCTAAGTTTACTTACACTAGTTTTCCTCCTAGATCTGGTACCAAGAGAAACTGAAGGGTCCCAGCTAGCTTCCTTTCTGTGTCTTCTCTCACATCCAATTTTGTCTGGATTACAGGTAGCCAAACATCACAGACTGCTGGAGGAGACATTCTAGCAGAGCAGCAAAGGATTCCTCAGGCACCCTGGAAGATGAAAGGGTTAGTCCTTGAAATCAGTGAACTTCAATGTAGCTTAAACACCACATTATCTTATCAACGGAAGTCCCATCCCTTGCCCCTCCTATCTGTTATCTCATTCATTTTTAGAAGGTCCTCTCCTCAGACAGAGCATTTATCTTATTTGCTCTCTGAAGCCATTGGCACAGTTCTGGGCACTAAATAAGTAATACATAAAATTAAATAGTATTAAAATCACCATTACTACATGCTTCCATGGGAATCAGTGAGCAGTCACATCCATGTTGACTGCCATGAGAAGCCCCTAGGAGCATAGAAGAGGTAGAAGACTTTGCCACAGGGAAGTATGGTTTCATGTGTAGGGGCTGCATGGACAGGTTGCCCACCTCACTAACGCATTTTTGAGCCATGAGGAACATCCAGACCAGACTTTTATATACTGTGTCTAGCAAAGTTTGTGATTGTATGCTGAGCACTGGTAGAAAATACTCACTTTTGCCCTAGGATCCATACTGATTTGGGGCAAGCGAGGAATGGGGCTAGGAAATGTTACGAAGATAAAGGACCACAACCAGGAAGAAGACTGAAGACAGATCTGACTTGTAGCACTGCAGTGAAGCAGTAATACTAATACATTCATTTGTTGCAGTTCTGCAACAAATTGGTAGCATCATGGAAGAACCCAGCAGCAGCTCATGCAGCCTTTATCCTTCTGTTGTCATTACAGTTTCCATCCTCCCCTTTCTGCAGAAGTAGGAACACTTAGCTTTTGATGGAGGATATTAAGCCTGTCACTGCACATTTGTTTAAATAGTCTGAAGAAAAGGCAAAGTAAAATGGACACACATATCTGAGCAGGAGTCGTATTTGCCTTCAGGAAAGAGAACTTGGGTAGCCAAGTGGGTTAATGCACAAACCTTTCATGTCTCTGGAGTTCACTTTCAATGTGGCTGAGCTCATATACATAATGAATCTTAATGGGCTCAACCTGTTCTACCAGCAAATGATTTGGTGTGCCTGGCAAGCCATTCATTCAGGGAATTACTGGGAGAGTTCTCATGGAGAACATCAGCAATCTGAGGGTTGAAAACCAGCAGCAGAGCCAGCTGTTGCAATAACAGTGCAATGCTGAAGTAAACCATTGGTTTAGCCGGATAAATTCTGATGTGGATCCAGAACAGCTCTCTTGAAGTTCAGACATCTAGCTAAGGTTTACACCCATGCAAACAAAGTCCCTAAGTACCAAGTCTCAGAAAGGAGAGGATGCTTCCTGCTGAAGGTTGGGGAACCGAAAAATCAAACTTGTCCTTTCTGAGTAGTAGCACTAGGAGCTGTATATTTTGCTTAGTTGAAACCTCAGCCCCCTCTTCAAACACGAGGTGTGAAGCGGCTGCATTGTGGTAGCAAACAGAAAGGCGAATATTCCAGAAAGGAGAAAAGGAAGCTGAAATGTCCTTGTGTGACTTCTGTTTCAGTCAGGCAAACCAGTTCCCAGGCTCGTAGCTGCGCAGAATTCCCACAAGTAGTTTGGAAGGTGCCTGGGATTTAACATACTTACAGAAAGGGGAGGTTGGGATCTAGTGTCAAGGTCCACTTTCACAAGGTGCTGGGAGTGTCAAAACTACCTACAAGAATCAGAGTCAAGGATACGGGCCCAGATCTCAAAATAACAACTCTCATACTCCCATTAAGAGCAAACAGTGGAAGAAACTGACTGAATAATCATTTGAATTTTAAAGCAAATTCTAATGCAACCATGTTTATGACCCTCTTGTATTTATTTGTGACAACTGTTCCAGCATATATTCATTCTGTGTTGGTTAGTTGTATAAACTATCCAATCAGGGAATACAAACGATACCATGTGATTTGTGTTTATCAGCCAACACAGCTGGAACTGAAAATAGTCAGTGTTTGCAAGTGATCTGCAGATGAAGAATTATGCTCTGCAGGTGATATTCCCAGAAGACAATCCTCTGCATCATATAGGGACTACATAGGAGTCCACAATAGAAGAATGTAGCTCATGCCTTCACAATGCCTATACATAGGGCCAGATTAAGAGACAAACACCATAGGGTCACTCAGTGCTCACAGCCTTAGCCCCAGTCATGTAACTGTATCATAGTATCAATTTGTAGGTATTAAAGTCATTATTACACTCTTAGTTGGAGAGAAAAATCTCACAAACATAATTAGCAACTAATTAATACAATGATGCATTCCTAGGTCTGCTCACAGCCTGAAATGGTAGGTCTCAGAGAGTGAATTGCTCTGTCCATGTCAGTGAAGCTGTTAATGCCAAGATCCAATGCTTTCAGTGCACAGCATCATTCAGTAGGAAACTGCATGTGTGAGTGGAGGATGACAGAGTGCTAAGCCCGTCCATCCAGGTAGAGACTCTCCAACTCCTTGATTACACATTGTTTGGGGATAAGGGAGCCCCCAGCATGGCAGGGGTGGTGCTGCTGCTGAGGCTCATGTCATGGTGAGCTTTGGTTTACCTGAATCCAGCCCTACCCATGCACTGTGCAAGGAATCTGTGTGCTGGTCTTACACAGGTTGCCTTGAAGAGCCAGTCTTGGGAGGGGGCCATCAGACCAGCCCCAGAAGTACATTCGTTGGCCCAGTGCTCCTCCAACACTGGCAAGATAGGCTGTGTACTCTATCCGAACGCAGAGCTGGAATAACAACCACAGTAGGGTGAGGGCATTGCTGTGTATAGGGTGAGAGCATTGCTTCCTATTCTGCCAGGCCCTGGGATGGATTTTGTCAATGAAGTGTTCACTATAAACAATTTAGTTTCCCCTTCTCAAGGCACAGCACAGCTTTTACAAAGGTAGCAGATGCAGAACTCCATGTTACAGGTACCAGAACCTAGTACGGAGCCTTTCAGCTGCTGTCTTGTATTCAGTCTTTCTCTGAACAGGTTCCCTAATGAACACTTCTCTGAAAGCAATGCGTAGTTGTTGCTCATGATGCATTTTGCTATTCAAGCAAAACTCATACAACTCAATCCTCAGATGTCCAGGATTCCTGGTTGGCACATGGGACTTCATGGTCCTGTGACCAACCGTTGAAATCCTGCACTCTCTTGCACAGGCTCAGAAGAGTTTCAGAGGCAGTACTCTGTCCAAAAAATGCTCCATAAACTATGGCACTGCAGGGACTGCTTAGCAAAAGCAGTACTTATTAAGAGCCTGCAGCTCAAGCCTTCATTCATCATTCATCCTGGGCAGAGCCAAGAATGAGCACGTACCTGAGAATTGTAGCATCACTGCTGGATTTGCCACCTCTGTCCCTCTTGCGGCTCAATCATCCACTTAGAAAGACCACATTTGTAGAACCAGTTTTCCCAGCCATTTCAATCAAAATTAAACCCTTATGAAAAAATGTAATTGTTTTCAAGGCAGCAGTTCATGCTGGTGAGGGAATAGATGGTTATTCTCCAACTAAACCTTTCACAAAGCAGTACAACTTGTATATGCACAGCACACTTCCTTTGGATGGGTTGACGGCACTTGTGTGTAACATTCCTTCAGTAGCATTGAGCCTCCAACAGCACAACACTCCCCCCACGGATGTGCTGCAGCACTGGCATTGAGGGGAAGTAGATCAGGGAGATGAACCCACAATTTCCCAGTTTAGAAGTGAAGGTGCTACCAACTAACCAACCCCAAACTGCCACTTAACTGTAATAATTTACTCACATGATTAACTGTAAGCAAATGAGTGACACTGTTCACATGCTTCAAGTTAGACATGCATTTAAATACATGCTGTGTTGTTATTAGATCCCAGCGAGGAAGACAGAACCACAAGAGTCCTTGCAGTTGTTCCAGCATTTGTATACAGGATACAGTCAGATTTTGGCCTTTCTCCACTTCCTGAGCCTGGAGCAACATGGGTGGGAGTACTGAACATTTCAGACTGCAAGAGGCAGGCAAGACTGGAAAGTGTCTCTGTGTGGCAGAAATTACCCGTCTTTCTTGGGAAAGTACATACTAAGTCCTAGCTTCCCCAACTCCCCTGTAGGTATTATGCCTACTGCCAGCCCTTCAGGCACAAGGTTGTAAGGATCATGCACCCCTGGACGGCGTGTGGTTGTCATCTTTGCCATTTTTTCTCCATAGACATTATATTTTACTTCTGCATCGTTACGCACTGAAAAAACCTGGTTATTTCTCCCCCATTTAAAAAATGTTGATACAATTTCAGATTTTCATTCTTAAAAAAAGCCCCAAATCAAAATGCTTATGAAAGATTTCCCCAGCTGGCTCTACCCTGATCTTCCTCACCTTCCTACTGCAGCTCCACATCTAGCGGCCTTACTATGGCTCATAATATTGAGTCTAATTAAGCAGATGTTCCTAAAGTTATAAAAAACTAGGAGTAGGGCTGAGAATCCAGGAGTCATTTCTTTCTGACAATATACACACCATATTTTCTTGTACAATACATCCCTTTGTTCTAAAACTCAGCTGCTGGAAACTGTGGTGTGCATTATAAGCAAGGAAATACGGTAACGGCAGTTTCTGCTTTTGTGGGGGGAGGGAGGACAGGGGAGCAAAAGTAAATCTGCACGTGCTGGACACATGGACTCCCTGCTTACCTGCTGGCTGTGGACACCTTCTCCTTCCCCTTTCCCGCAGCACTGCCTCCCCAGGAGCGGCTCCTCAGTTACCTACTGCTACTCACCAGAATTTTCTAGGAAAGATTTTTGTTTCCTTCATTCAGAAACGAGGTGCCTTCTATGTGAGGAAATGCAGTACATGTCTAATGTTCAACAAATGGGAGTTTAATTCCTTCTTCATACATGATCTTAAAATGAGATTTTTAATTTTTTATTTATTCCATAAACAATATAACAAAACTCAGCAAGTTAACAATATGACATTTTCACCATACAGAGTCAGTCACAAATATTTAAAACCTTTGCAACAAGAACAACAAAACCAAAAATATTACAAGAATAATTTACAAGAGGATCTATAAAACAGCAAAGCGCTCACAAATGTTCCAGTTTCCTTTACACAATATCACTACACTCTTTCACAACATTTCTTTTTATTACAAAATTCCCAACAAAAGTTTAATTTTTTTCTTTGTATTTTGGTTTTTAAAACCAGAAACTTTTAAGTATACATCCTTTTATTAACACCCGAAGGTGCAAAAAAAGGGAAACCTCACACATACAAACACTTCACAGCACTTTTCTAAGAAAAATATACACTTACAAAATATTTTACAAATTGGCACACTTAAAAATATACAAGATTTTGTAGGCGTCTTAGAGTGATCCTTAAGAATTATACTTCAATTGACTCTACAGAATATTTATAAAGCTTATTCTAAAAGAAAAAAGGCAAATAATTTCCAAACATGTTAAAATTGCAGTGTAAAATGTTAAACAGAAATGGATATGTTACATTCATAAAAAGGGCCATTTAATATTTCCTAAATGCTTAAGGGGGGGATAAAAGTTTTCTTTAGCACCATAAAGCAGTAGCAACTTACTAAAGAGGTGCCTCTAGTTCTATGGAAGTTAACTTAAGGAGCAGTACATTCAAATCTCTGTAGGCAGCAGTCAAAATGTCCACAGCCAGCGCTGCAGGCAGTGAAACAGAGCATCTCCTTAGATTTCTACCCTGCTTCCCACTGGGAGTAAAAGACAAAAGGAGTTTAACTGGTATCTTTCTTTTTTATATTTTCTTTTTTTTTTTTTTTTTTAAGTTTTCCCTTTGTGCTTTTGAAATGTACATTTTTCTCGCTATCGAAGGGTAGCCGTGAATACAAATTTCACTTCTTGTTTCCTTTTGCACCAAGCGTTCAAAGGCTCAGTAAACGTGTCTAGCAACCCAACTATCCTGTGAGATTGAGGGCATCCTCCTTTATATGATCCAAATTCTCTTAGATGGCTGTTACTCCATTGTCATTAGTGTCACTTGTTTACCTGAGAAACGGATTTGAAAAAGCTTTGCTTCTACCACAGACATTGTACTTAATTTTTTGCATTATTTTATACACTGAAAAGATAGAGGCACATTCTCAAATAGATGGCAGTGACTTGAACCCCGCAGCTTCCACTAAATTTCCTGGAACCTGCACAGGCAAAGTCCAACACACCGAATTGAGAAATTCAGACCAAGAGCCTGATCCTGCCCCAAATGCATGGATTCTCTTCTCCCTTACACCTGCCTATGCAATGGCGAGGCCTCAATCCAGCCGATTCGTGCCTCTGAGCAGGGCGTCGATCCTGCAAACCACTTACACCTCCTTTAAGTGTGCTACAGGTTTTTAGAACCAGTCCCATCTGGTCATGTACTTCAAGGTCTGCCCACACTCAAGTGCTTTGCAAGACTGAGGCCTAAGTGAAAGAAGAATCTGGCCCAGTGGGCGGAGGATTAAAATAGTTAAAAATGTCTTTCTTTTGGTTCATGGCGGATTGAGCTACAATGCCAGAAAACAACAGCAGTCCTGACCATTTAAATAAAAAACTACCCCCATGGCAACTGTTTCACATAACAAGTATAAACCAGCTGAACCCACAACAATTTCTTCTCCCTATTTAAAGCCTTGATTCAGCAAGATGTAGAAGCACAGGCTCAAGTTGAAGTACAGGCATAGTCCTACTAGCTTTCACATGGTTAAAAACCATGCTGAATCAGGGTTTTAGTTCATAATTCTAGATCCTTATTCAAGAAAGTTCTATGCTAAAAAAATAAATACGAAAAGAGGGAGAGAGAAGGACAAGCAGTGAACATCAGTTCTTTTATGCTTCGTGATTAATCAAATTCCCCATCCTTGATCTTTTTTATATTTACAAAACCTCTATATGCAAGTACCTCCAACAAAACTATGGGCTTTGGAGATGCTAATATAAAAATCAGGCTGTTGGGGGTGGGTTTTACTTGTAAAGGAAATATTCCTCACAGTGTATTTACAAAAAGAAAATGGATCATTTCTCTAAAACTGCAGGAGGCACCAAACATTCCTGCTAGAACTAGGACTAGCAAATGCAGCATTCTCCTTACCTCAACTCTTTCCAGCACAGGAATCTTGCTCACCACAATTCTTGGAATTGGAATGAGAGCAAATGAAATTGGGCCATATTAAACTGACCCAAGCTTGTTCCGATCTAAGCCAGGTCACGCGCGGGTCCTTTAAATTGATTAGGCTGTCCCTATGTGTATTCTAATTTAGCTGATGATTATAACTCACCAAAACTGAAATCTGCCAGATTTGCAGTACAGTACATCACAAGAGAATAAGGATACCATACAATGTATATAGCATCCTTCATACAGAGGATCATAAAATGGTTTTACAGCAAGAGTCAAACAAGCTACAGTGAAAAAGGAACTTCAAGGAGCTGAAAAATAAGGAAATGACTTTGTGGCTTGAAGTGAGCTCCTCAGGTAGAGTGGGCAGCACGCATAAGGGTAGAATGGTAGAGGGTCATGAGGAGAGAGAGTGGAGGTCTGGGTGGATCTAAAGAGGGAAGGATGAGTAAAATGGGAAAGTAAAGTGAACCTGTGGAGGTTCTGGGAATCCAAAGAGATTTAGAAATGGCCAAAGGCCAGGGTATGGCAATCCTGGACTGAGAGGGGAATCTAGCCACAGTTACCTTTCAAGAGCAGTACTATGAAAGAGCAAAGTGTGCTAGCAAAGAGAAGAAGCAGTGGAAGCAGGAATGAGTTTTTGGCAAGGGACAAGTTAAAGATGCATTATGATAATGTTCTCGAGGTAGTGACAGGTGGGTGCACAGAGAAGGTAAAAGGAGAGAGGACAGAAATTTGGTTCAAGGGGAATTCCAACATTTGTGGTCTTGGAAGCCTGGTTAGGGGTGACTTTGCAGAGGCTAGGGGAGTCAAGCAGGGAGCTGGGGCAGCATTTCACCTCAAAGGCTTTTGTTTCTCAGGCATTTGGTGTTAAGAAATTATGGTGCAGTCAGGGGGTGACAGAGTCAAAGAAGGCAAAGAGATGAGAGACAGAAGGTTGAGAGAGTGAGTCAAGGCAGATGACATCTGTAATTAACACTGTACTGAAATGCATGGTAATTGGGTATTAATGGGCTTTCAAGAGACAACAAAATAGTCAATATGTTTTATGTACTATATTCATGTCCTATTGCACATTTCTCAAATGCAATATATATTGCTGTATGTTTCAGTACAATGTACCTTATTATGAGTCATATAATTATATGTTAAACACACATAATACAATGCAGGCCAACAGAAATGTGCTTTCAAATGGCAGTTCTGGGTCAAAGGGCAGGGAACTGCTATTTCCTAAAGCTGGGCCTGTTCTGGCTCCATAGGAGCAGCAGCCTAAACATCCAAAACAGCAGTGAAAGCAGCCTCCTTCCCACCCCCTTGTGCAGAATTGGAAGTGGCTCTAAACATCACAGTTATTGTAGCAACGCTTTCTTTTATGGAGCAATGAATTTTGGATTGCTATATAAATACAAAACACCATCCTTACTTTGTCATTACATCAGTCCAGACTGTCTCTCCAAGGATGCAAGACAGGAGAGCACTGCTATCACCCCTGATGCACTGAGGCAGAGGACTGGCTGTGAGCTGTAGCACCATCTCCTGCTCCCCGAGAAGGACTTAACACTGTTTGAAAACAGTACTAACTCCCAGGCTACTGTGTAGCCACAGGAGGAAGACACAGGGAGTGGTGCCATGGCTTCAGCATAACCACATGCCCAAGTCAGAAGTTTGCAAATTGGTCCCATCTCTGATTCTTCACATCTCTCAAGTTGAGAATGATCTGTCTTTGCTGATTTGAATATAACAAAGAGAAGCCACTTCCAATTCTGCCCTTACTGTGACAGAAAGGAATATTCTTATATGAAAACACTTCCAAGTCTATCTGAATCTATTTGGAAACACCACCGCTATGCTCATGAGTATGTTGAAAAGTGATCTATTAGATTGCTTTTAAGGCCCCTCTCCTTGTATCTGTAATTGTCTATTGCATAATGTGTGTCCTAACCTTACCTCCCTCTGCTCCCATAAGTTCCCTAGTTAGCAGGTCTCTTGCATATCAAGGTTTCATAACAAATCAGCAGCAAAATGCACAGGCTGTCAGTTGCACAAGGAAAATAAGTGAATTTTTGTTTGTTTTGCTGTTGGAGGGTGAGGGTGCAGTGGGTAGGGTTAGAAATAAGGCCTTTTGATAACATGTTTAGCATTCAATACTTATCACCATCTTAATAAAGTCCACTTGCTTATGATCTGGCCCAGACTTGGTGAGATCACAAATAGTTCCGTTTCCTCTTATGTTATGTACGGAATGAAAGCAAAAAATTCATCGTTGCATTCAAAATTAATGATTTTCATTTTTTTAAATTTTCAAACAATATTGGCATTGCAAGGTTAAACACTTAGAAAAACACCAAAGCAATGATATGAGAGCACTTTTGATAGGATCAGCATAAAAATGTTTAAGAAATTACGCAAATAAAAATAAACAGCAAGAAATATATGAAATGTATTAGTTTTGATTTTATAACTATTTTAGAATTTATCCCAGGTTATTATAAAATATATAAAACTGAGATACAAAGTATCAGCAATATAACTTTGCACTTCAAATGATCTTCAGCTACAGATTTTGCTTTAAGAAAACAGACACTTGAAAAGCAGCTGTTTTGCAGTCTGTAAATGCAGTTTGAGTTCCTGTCAAACTTACCTTGAGTGATTTTCTGAATTCCTCCAACATTTCAACTCTCACCTATAATGAAACTCAAAATTTCATCATTATGGGGTTTTTTTCTGCTTATGTTTCTAAAGACAGGAGATTACATTTTCCCAGCATCAGTTTTAAAGTTCCTTTTTTTTCCTTTGTGAGCTTTAAACCGCAGGGTGAATCCATGAAATGAGGTAAGTAAATTTGGCACACTTTTAGTCATGTCCATAAAACTTTTGGTAAGTTGTATAAGTGAACATCATTTCATTGTGAGTTACAGGTGCTTTCATAGGGGTGGTTAATACATAATCACTGGAATGTTTATAGTAAAACCAAAAGGCATAGCTGCAGAAAACACTCACAACCCAATGTTGATAGAGAAGTAAAAATATGTACAATACAGTCACTTGTTCATAGTTTGGCACAATTTTTTGTTGTTGTGGGCAATAGTGCATAAACTACTGTACAACAGTATGACTTTTAAAACAGTCTTTCACAGAGAATACCAGATTAGGTTTGCTTTCAAATAATAAATTCCCACAATTTCAAACTCTTCATTTCAGCACTTACATTTCAACATACCACAAGGCATATTTTGAAAGAAACAAACAAAAAACAAAAAAAACAAACATCAAACGTCTTTCTAGAAAAAGGAGTCTCTTCTTCAAACACAGGAAAAACCAAAAATGTTGTTTCTGCCTTAAGAAGAATGAAGTCTGATTCCCTGCAGAAAAATCAAACATTTTATGCCATCTTAGTTAGCTCGTGTGGAGTCACCACATAGGATCATATGCTTTAAACTCTGATATAGTAGATGAAGCTTTATGATGCAGGTTAGGATATAAACAGCAGAGGGGGCTAGAAAGCACTCAAAATTGCCACATGAAGCTCAATTATGAATGAGTTTTCATTTTCAAACTAAAGAGCCTTTAGTTTCGGTATCTTGGCTTTTGGATGCATAACCTCTTTTTTGTGTTTTGTTTTTTACAAAATGTTCAAAAAAAAGTCTCTCCTTTTCAAAATCATTAAAAAGAGCATGTAATTAATTGTTTTGTGGGTTTCTTTTTCAATAAATAAGTAATTAAAAACCGAAGAAGCCAAACAGCAGAAAAGAGTAGCCTTGTTAGTTTTTTAACCCCAGCCAAGCCAGAAAATTGGTCATTCTTTTAGGTAGCTTGCAAGTAATAAGTATTTTCATGCATTTAAAAAAAAAAAAAGAAAACTGTAAAAGGGGAATGTCTCTTTCATGCAACTCTTGCTTTCAGGAAGGAAAAAATGAGGAACAGCGGGCTTAGCAGGTAGTAGGAAAGTTAAGGGTGCATTCCAGCCAGTTTGGTGCAGCATTACCTCAGTTTTTCAAAAGAAGCTGTCACAGATGGGTCCTTATGGGTCTGTTCACGGTCTGTTCGCTTTACTTTACAGTTCTCATCCCTCAGTGATTTAGAGCTTGATTTATGACGGTACAGCTTTTTATGGGTAGGTCCATTATTGCCTAAAGTGCTCAGGTTACTATAACTTTTATCAAAAAAGGGAGTGTGAATGTCTGTATTATACCCAGTTGAACAATTGGGGCGATTGGGATCACAGGTTGTGGCTTTGCCATTATTTTTGCTTGAGCCCTTGTTGCTTGACTTGTGATTCTTTGCAGTTCCCGGAGAATTACCATTCACCTTTTTCTTGGACTCCTGTGATGTCCCTGCCAAAATTTTAAGAGTTTTCAATTTCAGGCTGTTAGATTCAGGCGACCGGAATATATCTGGGACACTGTTATGACCCACGGGCCCCCACAACGGTTCAATTGAGGCCATCATAAATCTCTGAACATCTGCCATTCCAGATGCAATATTAGACAAAATATTGGAAGGTTCCTCAAATTCCCTTTGATCATCATCAAGGAGGTTGTTAGTGTTTCCTATACTAGTTTCAGACCAGCCTGTACTATTGTCTTTTCCCAGTGACCATTCACCAGATAGTCCATTATGCTTCCCCATCTTTACAGAGGTTGGGCTGCAGTGCTGAATGCAGTCAGCAAGTGCCTTTGTTGTTGAGGCTGTATTATTTAACTGATTGACTGCCCTGCTGCCAACTGCTTGAGCTTTTTCACCATTGACTCCTGCTGCATTTTTCCCTTTTCTTGTTGTTTTGGGAGCCTGCCTGGAGTTTTTACCTTGCGGCTTATCAGTTCCTTTGTTGGCTTTGGGAGATTTTTTCCTAGTGTTTTTCTGGGAAGAGCTTTGGTTTGTACCCATATTCTTGCTGGATGAACTTTTCCTCTTAGATTTTGACACTTTGCTATTGGTGCTAATTTGACCAGATGGCTCATTAAATGTTGACAAGCATGGACTTTTTTCAAGGAGGCTGACAGAATCTTCATCGTTGAACATATGGAACTGAAATTGATGATTATTTAAAGAAAACCCATTATCTGCCTGATCTTGGGTCTGAAGGACCCCACAGTTCCACTTGACCTTATCAGAATTGCTTAGCGCTGTCTGGGTGCTCTCCTGGAAACCTTTCAGATTGCTTAGTGGTTTGGTGTCTGAGCCAGTTATCTGAGGGGAAAGGTTGGGAGTGTCTGGAGGAGACATCTCCGAAAGTGATGACTGACGGAACTTATCGGGTGTGAAGTTGGAGATGTCTAAAAGATCTGTGGACTCTTTCAAAGGGGTTATTTCATCTATGCTTTGTTGGATCACTAGCTTGGGACTGCAGTGGGCCAAGAAATCATCATTAATATCATCTTCGCCATCCTTTTCACAAGATTTTAAACTTAAAGAACTGTAATTGCTAGAACTAACTGACAATGAGCCCACTGAATCAAAACTAATGAGTCTGCCATCATCTGTACTTAGTGTACCTCGCTGGAAATGAAAGCGCCCCTCTCCATTATTAAAATGACATGACTGATAAGAATCATCAGACTGCACTTGTTGGTTATCTGGCATATAATTTTTTTGGTATAGCAATTTGCTGCTATTCAGATTTACTTGACTGTATCCAGAGGCTGGGAGGTTGTCTGCACCTGCGGAGCCACCAAACTCATTTGACAGCACAGATGCCTCCCTCATGTCACTTGCAAATTCCTGATGGCTGCCCCCGGTGGCCTTGTTTGCCGGCCACATGGTGCTGAAGTTGCCCTGCTCGATTTCTAAGTGGCGGGGAGACTGTTGCAGCTCAGATTCTGAAGGCGGGGACAGCACGCAGCTCTGGGCGGGCTGCAGAGCAGAGAACGGCTTTTCTGCCTGAATGATGCTGGGGAGCGAATGCGACTGCTCCGAGGGATGCTGGGTGAAGTACGAGATACCAGTGTTACTCGACAAATCCGAAGCATCTAGCAATGTCTGTAGATACCCTCCGGGGATCAGGGGTACATTGGTGGTGATATTTGCAGATGGCAGAGGCTTGTCTGCAGAGCAGGTGGATGTTAGAAATGTCGAATTTTTATTAGCCTTATCTTCATGGCACTCAGAAAGATGGGAGCCATCTGAAGCACAAGGAATAGTGTCATCCTTCAAACTAGCTGCAGAGTCCTGATTTTCCAAAGTGGGGGAGACCTCCACTGTACTGGCGGCTGCTTTGATTTTCTTGCATTTCAACCTGGCTTCACTTTTGAATTTGATTCTGCGTAGCACTTTCCTCTCTGTCCCCTTATATTCCCTTTCCTGCGATTTGCACTTCACTGAGGCAATGCCTGTGATGTCATTCAAATGTAATCCGTTTGCACAGCCGGGGGTAGCTATGGCTAATGCTTGCATCCCTTTCAGGCCTGCATCCTCTTTACTGCTGCAAGGCTGCTTCTGATCAGAGGAGCAAGAGCCCAGCTTGTTCACTGATTGCTCAATGGCTTTAATTCTTTGAATCCTATGCCGGTTTGCTAGTTTGCATTTTCGCTTTCTTGGGTGAGGAAGGAATGAGGCATCTGAGCCATTTAAATAGAAATTCTGTTTGTGATAGAGAGATGATCTAAGAAAATCCAGCCGGCTTTGCTGCCTCTCTTGCCAGAAGCCTTTCAAAGGGGCCAGTTTTTCATATTTACTGAGCAGTTCCTCATTTAGGGTAACTGTTGTCTCATTGGCATCGACTTTACTGAGCTTCACCAGCATATGCTTCTCCCCTTTAAACCTGTTAATGATGATGTACTTTATGATCACTGGTGGCTCCTTGCGAGAGACTTTCCGCCTTTTCTTTGGGCACCACTCATCATCATCCTCTTCTTTGGGCCCACCCGGAGCCCACTCTTTCTTGTCCAGATTTTTCTCGTTCTCAATGGAATCCACGTCATACAGGTAGTCATCACTGTAGCGCACTTTCCTTTTTGCCCGCAGCCCATAGTTCTGCTGAATGAAGGACGTGGAATGTTCCCTGGATAGGTACCTGCTACAGTCCTTTATATCCCGCAGCACATCGTACGAGGACTCTGTGCAGGTGCTGTCATCACTGAACTCCCCAGAGTCCTCTGTGGAATTCACAGAGTCCAAGAAGTGGCTTCTTTTGGGGCCTATGTACTGCACCACCTCTGTACTGTTGCAAGATTTATTTAAGGCAGCTTTCTCCTCCTCCTCCCCATCTTCCTCCTCCCCATCCTCGTCCTCTTCCCCCCAGATGATGCCCTCTTCAGTTTTGAACTGGGAAGGGTCAGTGCCACAGGCAGCACCTCTCTTCAGGGCACTCCTGCTGTCCCTTTTAGTGCAGTTGCCAAACACACTGGGGAAGAAATTGAACTGGGCATCCTCTTGCAGGGCGTTGGTTTTCTCCCTCACATTGTCCTGGAAAGATTCATATCTAATCTTTAAGGAGCAGACATCACTTCCCAAGGTTGAATCATCATCATCAAACATGTAATTATCCACATCTTCCTCAGAAAACAGATTTACAGAAAGCTCATTTTTGGAGCAAAGGTCAAGCAGCTCAATTTTACTTTCACTAATGAAAGATTCAAAATAGCCCCATTCCTGGTTTGGATTTGTTAGTAAAGGTTCCTCGCCATTGCATTTGTCCAATAGTAATCCCTCGTAATAATTTTTCTGAGTGGGGTCCTCTGAATCACTGTCAGATTTTTCCGCATCTCTTTTGTCTGCTGCCCTCGATTTATGCATAGGGAAGCTTAAAAGCTGGTCTGAAAGCAGTTGATCTCCGTATCTCATGGTTTCTCCTGTGCTCATGCAGTGAATCCCTATATCAGAGACTGAACAGGTGTCATAATCCCTATTTATATCACCCACTTTCAAGCTTATTCCCGGCTCTGCATCAATGCCGTCCTTTGATTCAATAAAGCAGCCCAGACAGGTCCGGCTCGGCTGCATCAAGCAGTCACCAGTCAGAGCTGACATGCCTCCAGGCTCCATAATTGTGAATGGAGCCTTCTCACAATCGCCTGGCAGAGACCAGGAGCTCATGCCCTTTGTAACACAAGATGTAAGAGAAATGGCGTGCGCGGAGGAGTCATCTGAAGCGTGCTCAGGTACATCAGTGAGTCTCAGAGGAGAAGGAGGGCTCAACAAACAGGGCTTCTTTAAAGTCAAAGGAGGCAGCACTCGGTGGCACGCTTGATTTTCCTTCTGAGCTATTGTCAAGGCTGAAAATGTAACCGCAGCATCTGCAGCAGTGCAAGGCTTCTCATCACTGTCTGGGTCATGTGATGCTGGAGGAATTGAAAGAAAAAGGGAGGGAGGAAGGGAGGGAGAGAGAGAGAGAGAGAGAGAGAGTAAGTATTGGTTTAAGAACCCTGGAAATCTAGTCTGACTCCTTTCCCCTTCTCACTTGATATTTTAGGTGACTATTTACCTTTATATTTACCTGGTGACTTTACAAACCGTTTCTTTGCAAAGCAACAGCATCTTTTCTACAAGGCTGCAGTAACTATTTTGTGTGTCTAATTAATTTTGTGATACACAAAAAATGCAAACATCCTCCCCCCCCTGCAGCCTTCTGGCACATGGACAGGGCTATATTTAAAACCAATTCTTTTTTTTTTTTCGTTTAATATACTTGCTACTAACTGGATACTATCATTCAAAACTGGCTCAACTGTTGTAAAACAGGAAAAACCAAGAAGAAATGTTTCCATTACCATTGTGAAAAACTTAATTCCATTGGAGGTCAATTCTTAAAACTGTGTTTCCTTGCAGGAACATACCTGCATAATGTTAGTGCCCAAGAGTCAGAAAGTTATATTAATTTTAAAAGTGCCAAGTCTATTTTCATGGTGTGAGGTAAGAAAAATGCAAAAAGCATAAGCAAACTGTATTAAGAGTTTAGGAGCAATCCCTCCCATATTCTGTCTTCAATAAAAAGCTTTTACAAAAACACAGACAGAAGGCAGGACACGGTGCCACCTTACAGACTAACTCGGTTCAGAGGCATAAGCTTTTGTAGGCTACAGTCTATTCAACTGTTGTGAATAGCTATTAAATATAAAGCAATGGATATAACAACACAGATAAGAGATTTTTAAACATGTTTTTAACTTGATAGTGCCCCTTTGCAAAGAAAGGACAATTTTTTAAAATGATAAATAATCATAACATTTAATTTGCATTTAACTTGTGGCTCAGTGTCTGCTGTGACCCTTGAAATCTAAACAGATTTTAATTTTTTCACATCCAGATACATCTACTGATACCTTTGTGTATGTGGGTGTGTGTGTGAGAGAGAGGGAGGGAAGCAGATCAGCTGATCTGTTCTATTATTTTAGGGCTGGATCCTCATAGCCTTATGCTAAGTCAGATCCATGGATTCTGGTTTTCTCTGTTTAAATTGCAAATTTTCTAATAAAAACGACAAAATCTCTGATAAAAACCCCAAATCTGCAATTAAAATGAAACACCACTATATATATAGGTACCAGCTGAACACAATGTTTTATTGATATATTTACAATTTTAAAGCAATTTGGAAACCTACAAGCACCTCAATCACTATAATAAAATAAATTCTAAGTACCTGTACATTTTGATATTTGATTTTGGGTTTTTTATTGTGGAAAATTAGAGCTCCCTCTGCCCCCTTTGCTCACCAGGACACAGGTTCAGGCCCCTCACTCCCCACCCACAGCTCCCCAACCCTGCAGGTGTGCTTCACTCCTCACCCAGAGCCCCAGGCTAGGAGCCAGCACCACTTCGCTTGGAAGCTGGTTCCAGATCCTAGCCGCCCTGACAAT